CTTCAATATGTGCCATTTCTCTCTCCAAGGCTACTCAAGAGTCATGTTTCTGATTGTTCTTGAGTTTTCTTTGTCCTAACAATTTCCTCACTCTTTTTAAAAAAAAAAAGAAAGAAAGAAAAAGGAAAAAAAACTTTAAAAATGATTTACAATGTTATTTGAATGATTTATTGTAAATGCTATGAATCTATATTTGTTTTGTATCTGTATGTTAAAATTAATTTCTAAAAAACAGGTAAGAAACCATGCATGGTGGCACATGCTTATAATCCCAGAGGCTCAGGAGGCTGAGGCAGGAGGATCGCGATTTCAAAGCCAGCCTCGGTAAAACCGAGGTGCTAAGCAACTCAGTGAGTCCCTGTCTCTAAGTAAAAGATAAAATAGGGCTGGGAATGTGGCTCAGTGGTCACGTGCCCCTGAGTTCAATTCTTAGTATAAAAAAAAAAAACCTGAAAGAAAATAAAACTTTTTATGGAGATACAACATACATATAAAACTGCATAATTCAAAGGTGTACAGATTGAATAATTTTCACAAACTAACAGACCAATGTGCCCAATATGGGGACCAAGACATAGAACATTACAGAAGTCCACTTAAGGCCTTTTTTTGTCACTAATTCCCAATGGTAACTGTTTTTCGTTTATTGAGAGCTAATTTACATATCCATTCTTTATGACTAAGGCATCCAGTCACGTGAGCACACCATGGTCAAGGCAGACTACTCCCATTACCTCAGAACGTTCCCTGTGCCCTGCTGTGGTGGACCCCGGTCCCCCCACCACCTTCAGGCCCTTACAGTCGCTCACCTCTTCTCTCCCTATTGTTCTGTGGTTTTCAGAATGTCCTAGAAGAATACAGTATGGCTGCCTTTGAGTCTGAGATCCATTCCTGTTGCTGAAGATGAAAGTCGCCGGTGCCTTCACTGTTGAGTAGACTCCAGGGCACCAACGCACCAGTTGGTTACTCCTGTCCAGGCCACTGGGGTGCTTCCACGTGTAGCTGCTCTAACCATCAGCACAGAGGTTTTTGGGGGGACTTGTTTCCATGGCTCTTGGAGTGGACTTGCTGGTTCAGGAGTGTTTAAGAAATTGTGATTGTTTCCAGAGTGGCTAAAGCAATTTGCATCAGCAAAGTCAGCGAGTTCCAGGGGCTGCGCGTGCCCGTGGAGTCCTCAGGTGGGTCCCTGAGGTTTGCAGGGGTCTCTTGGTGGGATGTTAATTGCCATTTCTTCATTGATCCCCAGGGAAGGGGATCTCTAGGAATTCCCCATCTCGGACCTTCTTCCAGTGTGACAGCGGCTACTACCTGGTGCTAGGCAAGTGGTGGAGATGTGAGCTGGTTGCCCCAGGCAGCCCAGTGCTAAGCCTTCCCGCTCACCCTCTGAGTAGGTGAGACTTTCCAGCTCTGAGGTGGCCTTTCCAGCTCTTCACAGCGGTCCCGTCCTCTACGGGATTTGGTGTAGGACTTGGGCCCAGTATGGCTTCCTGAGCCTTGCCAGGGTCAGAGGGCATTTTCTTCTACCAGAAGCTCTGTTGGCCGCTCCTCCAGGCTGACCACTTTTACTCTGTGCTCCCTCAAGCAGCACTTAAAAAAAAAAAAAAGATTTTGGCCACTCAGCACTGGGTCAGGGCTAGATCAGCACGGGACTGGTTTGGTGTCTTCCCACGGTGGCAGCAGCCCTGGAGGTGTCTCTCCCTCTGTCGCCCTTCCCTACCTGGATAAAAACCTGTTAGTGTGGTCAGCTCTCCCCAGCTCTAGCCCCGGCTATCTAGACCGACAGGCAGCCCACACCTGGCTTCCAGCAGTTGGTTCAAATTGAACCAATGTTTTCTCAGCCCCTTTTACGAAGGGCACCCCTTCTTAGTACCACCCAAGTGACCAGTCACCTGTGTCCCTGTGAACAGGCCTGCCCAGGTAGAATTCAGTCTCCTTGTTGCCCTTCCCTTACTTTCTTGGTGAGCTTGGGAAAAGGGCCGAGCCTGTAGCACAGTGGCCTTTTGTATCTGTGGGTTTATCATCTGTCCCTTCAACCAACTGCCAACTGAAGATATTCTACAAAAACTTGCATGCAGGGCTGGGGCTGGGGCTCCATGGTAGGGAAAATTCGCATAACCAAGGCTCCGTGGCTGGCCAATGATTCACAGAAGTCCTTGGCTGGTTTTGACCTCGATTTTGAAATTACGTGGTGATATTTTACCATATTCAGTTGGTCATGCAGGGCCACCCCAGATTCAACATGGAAGAACTGCACAGAGTATGACTATTGGGAGTCAAGGGTCAGTTGAGGGACCATGTGGAGACTAGCTAATATCCCAAGTAATGAAAAGGGAACTTTCAAGCTGGGTATCATGACATGTGCCTAGAATCCCAGCTACTCAGGAGGCTGAGCGGGAGGACGGGGAGTTGGAGAGCAGCCTCAGCAATTTCGCGAGACCCTGTCTCAAAATCAAAAAAATAAAAAGGGTTGGGGATATAGCTCAGTGGTAGAGCATCCTGGGGTCAATCCCCCGTACTGGGGGGAAAAAAAAGTCATAATCTAAAAATGAAGTTAACAGAAGTAAAGGGAGAATATTTTTGTGACCCGGGGAGGAGAGGACTTTATTAATAAATCTTTTTTTTTTTTTCCTTTTCTTGGTACTAGGGATTGAACCCAGGGGCACTGAACCACTGAGCCACATCCCCAGTCCTTTTTTAAGATTTTATTTAGAGACAGGGTCTCGCTGAGTTGCTTAGGGCCTCACTAAGTTGCTAAGGCTGGCTTTGAACTTGCAATCCTCCTGCCTCAGCCTCCTGAGCCACTGGGATTACAGATGTGCACCATCACATCGAGCTTATTAAATGTCTTGAAAAACACAAAATTATAAGGCAGTGTGGGTTGAGAAGATAAGTCTTATTGGGTTAAAATATAAGATTTCTACCTACAAAGAACATCAAGACTGAAGTTAGTTTACGGATGGGAGAATGGAAGGAAATATTTGCAACATCTTAAATTGATAAGCAATTTGTCCAAATATAAACGCCTACAGAATCAACTAAAAAAAGAACTATAAATTGTTTTAAAAAATGGCAAAGGATATTAAAAAGCAGTTTACAAACAGCAAGTCCCTTAGAGTAAAACAGTGAGCTCTCATTTTGTAGCTATTAGCCTAACCAAAATAAATAAAAAGGGTAAGCCCACGTGAGATGTGGAGGGAAATAGGAATGCTCATGCAGCACAGGTGAGTGGGACTGATATGGCCATTCTGGACAACATCTGGAACTATTTTGAGATTCACACCCATGAGGGGAATTGCTGGCTGATGGGTTATGCAGATACTAAAGTTAAGAAGCTTCCTGCAGACCAGGGAGCTCCTGGAGCTGTTCACTGCAGAATCACTGTCTACTGCTGTGCACAGGCATGAGGGACCGACCACCTGCCACAGTCTAGGGCCCGAGAATGATGGCGGTGGTGTTAAGTATGAGCAGTACTATGTTTAACCACAGTGGAGACTCATCAAGGAATACCAAGCAGCAGTGACAACACTTAGTACTGCAGATTAAATATATGCTTGGAAATATCTTAATTTTCCACTAACTGTTCTATTTTATAAGAAACTGAATGTGACAGGTAACACCATCACTTACAGAAATTTAGCACATTAGAGAGGTTGCTACTATAGGGAGAAGAAGAATGGATTACAGGAATAAAAGTTAATAGAAGCAGGCATGGTTGTGCACACCTATTATCCCAGCAGCTCAGTAGGCTGAGGCAGGAGGATCACAAGTTCAAAGCCAGCCTCAGCAACGGCAAGGCACTAAGCAACTCAGTGAGACCCTGTCTCCAAATAAAATATAAAAAAAGGGCTGGGAATGTGGCTCAGTGGTCTATGTGCCCCTGAGTTCAACACCCCTATACCAAAAAAAAAAAAAAAGTTAATAGAAAAAAATTTTTATAATGTTTAGAGAAGTGATATTACCTGATTCTAAGACTTATTTTAAAGCTACAGGACAGGCATATTGGTGCACACCTGTAATCCCAGCTATCCCAGAGGCTGAGGCAGGAGAATCACAAATTTGTGGCCAACCTTGGCAACTTAGTGAGACCCTGTCTCAAAAAATAAAAAGGGCTGTAGCGTACTTCAGCATTAGAGCATCCCTGGGTTCAATCCACATTATTTATATAAAAAATAAATTTTATTTTTATTCAAATAAAATAATAACAATAAACTTATAGTAATCAAGACAGTGTGGTATTGGTGTCAAGATGAACATATACATCAATGGAACAGAAGAGCAAGTGCAGAATAAATCCACAAGTATGTGGTGGCACGTGCCTGTAATCCCAGCCACTTGGGAGGCTGAAGCAAGATGATTTCGAGTCTGAAGCAGGTGGAGAAGGACTGGGAGTTTAGTTCTAAGGTAAATCATCCTTGGTTTCAATCTGGGAGGGGGAGGGGCAGGGGGAGGAAGAAAAAAAACCCGGCTGTGCCAAGTGTCTGTGAGAGTGTAAAATGTAGAACTGGAACTCCGGCCTAGCGGGAATGTAAAATAATACAACCTCTCAGAAAACAAGTGTTATTCCCAAGATTATAAACATGCACTGTCATAGGACCCAAACATTCCATTCCTAGGTATTGACCCAAGAAACATGAAAGCAGGTGTCCACACAAAATCTTGTGCATGCAATTCCTAAGGGTTTTGTTAGTAATAGCCCAACTGGAAACAACCCAAAGGTCCCTCAACAGTGAATTGCTCAACAATTTGGGGTGTACCCATACAAAGCAAGACTATTAAATAAATTTTACTTTATTATAGAAACAAGGAACTATTGATACACACAACATGGATGAACCGCAAAAGACTTATGCTGAGTGGGTACAGTACGGTTCCATCTTCTCTACATAAGATTCTAAAAAATGCAAACTACAGTGACAAATTACATCAGTGGTCGCCTAGGGAGGGGGAGAGTTTCCTAAGTGGCATGAGGAAACTTTTAGCACTGATGGGATGTTTTCATGATCTTGATCGTGGTAATGGCTCCATGGCGGTCACATGTCAAATTGTGCTCTAAATATGTGCCATTTATCCCAGTCAATTATATCCGATTGTTTTTCAAGATAAAGTCAGGTGACTTAGAGCCCAGGATCACCCAGTCGGGAACTGGGGGCGTGATTCAGAAGGGCCAGCCATCGGGAGCGGCTCTCTGGCCCAGGAAAGTGCTGGAAGGCCCCGAGCTGCGCGCGGCCGCCGTTAATCATTACCAGTGGGCGGCCCGAGCGCGGCTCCGCCCCGGGGCAGCCTCCAGAGCGCCCCGCGCGCTCGCCGTGCCTCCGCCACCTGCTGCCCGCCCGGCCACCTGCCCGCGCGCCGCGCCCGACATGGTGAGCTCGAGATCGCGCCGCGCCGGGGCGGGGAAGGGCCGGGCGTGGGGAGGGCGGTGGGGTCCCTTCAAGCCTCTGCAGAGCCTACGTGGCCCGCCTTGGACGGTCGGGTCTCCCTGGCGGGGGTGGCCACCGGGCTGTTGAGGGGCGGTGGCGGGCAGGCACTGCGAGGCGGCAGCTGGGCCTGGCCTTGGCTCCCTGTCGCACAGCTGCGCGCCCGCGCCAGAGGCGGGGCGGAGAGCGGGGGCAGCTGCTGTGCGCGCCCGGGCAGGGCCTGATCCAGGCCCCTTCCTGCCCCCACTAAGGTTGGGGGTCTAGCAGGGATTCAGACCTGGTACCAATACACCTGGCCTCAGACCCCGCCCCTGCTCCTGATTGGAGGTCAGTGCCCTGCGTGGGCTCCTGATGGCCCCGGATCATCCTTCTTCCAGGCTGAACTCCCCCCCGGGGCGGGCTATCAGACCCTTCCGGGCTGTGCATCCGGGAGCGTCTAGGCCAGGAACCGTCGTTGGGAGCATCCAGGACTGGAAGGGCATTTTGGCAGTTACAGCTTGGTGATAGGGGCTGAGATGCAGGTTTGGGTAATCAGTAACCCCTCCGCACACTCCCCCAGAGACCAGAGGTGGGTCTAGGCCTGACCCTGATTTACTAAGCAAACAAGGCTCCTTCCCTCTGACCCCAGAGTTCAGTTTTGTCAGTCTGCCCAGGCTATGGGACTTTGGAAATCCTAGAAGATTCTAAAAAGATATAGGGGCCCTTCAGGAGCTCACCTGTACCTGCCTGCCCCCTTTCAGAGCAAAGAAAATAAACTGGTCTCTGATGTCTTGGCTGACATTTGGTTGCCTGGAAACAGACCAGGCTTATCAGCCCCAGAAAAGGCAGCTCTGGAAAGGCGACCTTGTTGTCAGGTGGACCATGCACATCTCAGCTGCCATCCCTGTCCCTGTCTGTAGCCATGGCAAGAGAAGGACCAAGCCTCATCCAGTTCAGAGAAAGATCCCACATTTTCTGGAGGGAGAAAATCTTCTACCCAAAGTGCTAGGTCAATGCAGTGAACCCATCATGGCCTCTGGGGATTGAACCCAGGGGCGCTCAACCACTGTCACATCCCGAGCCCTTTTTATATTTTATCTAGAGACAGGGTCTCGCTGACTTGCTTAGGGCCTCGGTAAGCTGAGGCTGGCTTTGAACTTGCAATCCTCCTGCCTCAGCCTCCTGAACCGCTGGGATTATAGGCCTATGCCACCGAACCTGACCCAGGAGGTATTTTTAAAAACCCATGCATTTACTTAGTAGCCGTGTGGTTTATTAAAGTGTTGCACTGGCACTTCTGGATGATTCGTGAGGTAGAGCTCTTGTTGCTTGACCCATGAATCCAAAATTCTCTGAGTGCCACAGGGCCACCTAACTGGTAAATGGTGAAAACTGAGACTTAAACCAGCTGGGCCAACTCCCCCCAGGGCGTCCAGACTGTGGGCTGCTTCCTAAAACCTCAAGGAAACTCCCTTGCTTTCTCTCCCCAGACCTAATTGATTTCAGCTTGGCCCCTGTCCCTGTCTGCTCTTGGGTGGTTTTATTTTAGAAGTCTAGCTTCTGGGGTCCTTTAAGCTCCTGGGTCCCTCTAGAGGACAGAACTGACCCTGGTTTCTTCTCTGAGGGTTCATTCGTGGCCTGACCCGTGTCACGTCGGGCTTCCTCCAGTGTGCCCTACCAATAGACAAACAGGATGGGGTTTGCCAGCTGCCTCAGGAGAAGTTACTCCCCCTCTGGGACTGAGCCCCGTGGCCAGAGCTCCCCAAGCTTCCAGGAGACAGAAAGCCTGAGAACCTAGGCCTGGCAGCTGGGGACCAGAGGCTAGGTGGTGGTGTGGTTAAGTGCCTTTGGGGCGCAGAGCCATGGCAGTCGGCTGCAGTGTGGTTAAGAATCACTGGAAACGCGTTCTACATGCTGTGCCCAGCACAGCCCAGGGATGCAGATGCACAGACCACACTTTTGAGAACCTCCTAGTGCTGGGGTGAGAGGGGTGGAGAAGCCCTGTCTCCTCTCTACACCTCCGCTTTCTCTGAAAGCTCTGGAGGGGTGGGGGTGGGGGGCGCAGAGAGGACAGAGTTGATACCAAGGGAGGCTGGAGCAAGGAGTGGCAGTGCAGGTCTAATCCCAGCCACTCGGGAGGCTGTGGTGGGAGGATCATGAGTTGAAAGCCAGCCTCAGCAACTTAGCAAGACCCTTTTAAAAATAAAAAGGGCTGGAGATGTGGCTCACTGGTTGAGCGTCCCTGGGTTCAATCCTTGGTACCAAAAAAAAAAAAAGGAAGATTGATAAAGGGAGGCCTGATAGTTGGTGCCCTTTTCCTGAATCTTGTGTGAGATCTGGGCAGGATTTTGCTTTTACTCCTCATCATAGATATAATCCACACAGCTGGGGGGCTGGGGGCAGGTTGGAGGGGGGAGTGCTGCTTCATCTTGTGATTGGCATTACACTTCCTTTGGGATCTTTCTCTCTCTGAGGGGAGTGTAAAACTCAACACCTGAGAGCCTATCAGTGAGTAAGCCCAGACCCCACCTCCTGGGTGAAGCACCCCTCTCAAGTCCTGCTGGTCTGTTGCCTAGAGAGCTGCTGCCCTTTGGTCATCCGTGTCCAGAGCAGCCAGCACAGGCTGGCTCAGTTCCCTGTGGTCTGGGGCCCTCTCTTTTGACCTATGAAAGAAATGCCCTTGGGCCTCTGCTCTCTTCCTCTTCTAGGCTGGCAAAGCACACAGGCTAAGTGCTGAGGAGAGAGACCAGCTGCTGCCAAACCTGAGGGCTGTGGGGTGGAATGAGATGGAAGGCCGAGACGCCATCTTCAAGCAGTTCCATTTCAAAGACTTCAATAGGGTGTGTCCAGGGTGGGAGGGTTTGCCCATTCTGGGGCTGGTGGGCCACACCTGTCCCTCCCTTCAAGTCCTACAGTGCCAGACACAATAATCCAGTTTATTCAGGCACCACTGGTGGGGAAATTCATTTCCTTAAATAACTTGGAAAGTGGCATCCTCAGGAATCACAGAGTAGGAATGTGGGTCTTGGACTCTCCCTACCTGGAACAGTCCTCAGAAAAGACAGCCCAAGTAGCAAACAAAGATACATCGGAGGATGTTTTCATAGTCAAAAGACTAAGACTTTAACCTCTTGAAGTTGTTAGGGATCCTAGTATAAGACCTTCTTCCTGCTATAGAGAGACAACCTGGAAGTCAGATCTCAGAGCAGGGGCAGGTTGTCATGGGAAATGATTAGAGCTAAGGGAAGCTGGTCCAGCCTCCTGTATCAATCGACCAGTAAAAGGTGCCCAGGAGTCCTTTCTCTTAGAGCGCTAACCTGGGTTTCACTTCACTTAAATAGGCTTTTGGCTTCATGACCAGAGTGGCCCTGCAGGCAGAGAAGCTGGACCACCATCCTGAGTGGTTTAACATGTACAACAAGGTGAGCAAGGTTGTGTGCCTGTGTTGTGCTCTGTCTCCATCCACATCTGAGCACTTGGGCGCTTTCTGAAGGCTCTCCCTTGAACTGGACTCTGCCCCCCACCACAGGTTGACTGTCCATTCAATCTGTCTACCTCCTTCCTAGAATCAACATTAAGTGGTCAGTCTCACTACATATTAAGGACATTCAAATTAAAACACTTTGAGATACTTGTGGTTAAAGTAGATATCAATAAGGCAAAACCCAAGAAAGGAAAGGCTGTGGGAATCAGGCATAATTATTAATAGCTCCATGTGGTTTTAATCTTTCTGGGGGGATAGAAGAATAAAAAAGTAATAAACTTGAACTGAGAATCCCCATGCATAACAAACAGATCTGTCTGCTTAATCAATTGAATAGTCATACCTAGCATGTGCCAAGAATTCTGCAGGCCTGTTTAAAAACATTAAAGATGGAAGAGGCTCTTTGTAAATGGGTAGTTTAGGAGCCAGCAGTAGTTTGGGTTCTGCCTTTAGCTTTTAGGTTGCTCTTGAGATCTGGATGTTAAATTTTTATTCTGTAGTTGAAGTCACCATTGTTTTTGGAAAACATTAAGGAGAGGTGCAGTACAAGATGGCTTTGCACTGCTGTCACAGACCTGTCAGGGCAGCAGGACCCAGGAAAGATGGCAGTGACCAGCTGCTGTTCTGGAGCGCTTAGTGGGGCTGAGCCCAAGTTAGTGAGTCTTCTACTCTTAGATGAAGTCAGTGGAGTTGCCCTGAACTTCTGTTTGTTTGTTTGTTTCAGGTGCACATCACCCTGAGCACCCATGAATGTGCGGGCCTTTCAGAACGGGACATAAATCTGGCCAGCTTCATCGAACAAGTAGCAGTGTCCATGACATAGACCCTGCCCTTCTTTGCATTCTTCAGGGGAAGGGCGGGTGACTGAACTGGGAATCCAGGTAGGGAGCCCTTGGTCCCTGAGACTGCTGAAGTCGTCCCTCCTGTGTCCACCCTTCTTGCCTCCATGTAGGGGCAGAGTCCATGTTGTGGGAAGATGGCAGCGTCACTGCCAACACCAGGAACTGAGCCCCTTCCCCTCTGCCACTCTTCATCCTTGGGCTATTACATTAGAGTGAGCCCTTCCTTTCCTGGCAGGTTCCCAACAACAATAGTGATTTGCTTCCCAGGATGTGTCTTGATCCCAAATCCGTTTCCCAAGCAGCTGTGACACAGGGTGAAATAAAATCCTATCTTAGGAAACACATGTGTTTTTATTCTTCTAATAAAATCTAATGCATCATGTGGTCCTACTGGGGATGGAACCAGGGCCTTGCACACACCAGGCAACTTCAGGTTCATTATCATGTAGGGGACTTAATCAGGAAGACTATCGACTAGGCAGAGGAAAACTACGTTAAGGCTAAATGTAGGAAAAGAAATGAGCAGTGACTAATGGTGACAAGGATGATTCTGAGTCAAAGACCCAAGGAGGGTTTCTTGAGAGGCAGAGATGGCTACGGGGGCATCATGAACACAGGTAAAGATGAATAGGGCATGGGACCTCCATCTAGACTGTCTGGGACGATGTTGTCGTCTTCTTGCAGTCATGACTAATTTTATGTGTCAATTTGGCTGGGCCATGGGGTGCCCAGACCTTGGGTCAAGTATTATTCTGAGTGTATCAGTGTTGATGTTTTGGATGAGATTCGTGTGTTGGTATTGAGTACAGCAGAGTGCCCTCCCTAAGGCAGAAGGCTGACATAGAGCAAAAGGGCTGGCCCACTTCCACATAGAGAACACTTGCCTATCTGCCTTGAGATGGGACATTGGTCTTTTCCTGCTTTCAGATTCAAACTGAACAGTCCTTGCTCCATGGGTCTCAAGCCTGCAGGCCTCTGTACTGAGGCTGCACCTCAGGTCTCCTGGGGCTCCAGCTTGCCAACCACAGATCTTGGGACTTGCTGATCTCTAGTCACATGAGCCAGTTCCTCCTGTGTGTATACTGGCTGTTTTAACCTCATACACTGACCTGTAACACCAAAGGAGAGCTCCTAATCCTGATGACCTTTGCATTTCTTGAAATCTTAGCCAAGGTCTCAGGGCTCACCTGCTTTTATTCTATAAGACAGGAAATGAGCTGTGGTTTAGGAGTCAGTTAAGGGCTGATTTGCACAGGACTGGTCCCCAGTCAGTAACTCCAAGACAGAATAGGTCTACAGATGTACCATGACTGGGAAGGGGACAGTCAAAGCAGACTCACCTTCACCCCAGTGTGCATGCCACATAGACCCCCCACCTTGCATGTGCTGTGAGACAGACAGGGAAGCTCTCTCCCAGGATCGCTCACCTGTGGTGCCAACCTGAAGCACTGCCTGGGCCCTGAGATGCCTGGCAAATGCCAGAGTCATTAGGAGCAGGCATCCTGCAAGATCCCAACTCAGGCAGTCAAGATGAGTCAAACCCCAGGACCACAAAAGAGGCAGAGGTTGGTGGCTGAGAAATAACCTTGCTGTCTAAAGAGGGTAAGCAGGACCCTTTCCTAGCCTACATGCCGTAAAAGACAATCAAGACCCATGTAGATGGTGATTTCTCTGCAATGCTTAACATCAAGACCAGCAAGATTCAGACAGAGGTCTCTTATATCTGATGACTGAGGATTACAGGACAGAAGACACCAGACATGGAGTTGTGGACGGTGCCTCTGCTTTTATCATGGATCAAGAGTCAAAAAATTGACACCCATGCAGCCCTCCATTTGTATAAGGTAACTGTGTGGGACAAAGACATAGGCAACACTTTTTAGAAACATATGTTTATTCTAAAACTAATCCCAATAATTGAAAATAAGAGGGGATATTAAGCAGAGAAAAGATGATGTCAAACACAAAAGCACAAGTGAAAACTAAGGCCATTAAAACCCCAAGTCAAGAAAGGGCTATCAAAGCCTTCTGCCCATCCAGGCTATGGCCTGTCATCATTTCTGTCACTGTTGGGACCAGCTATAAGCTGCTTGGTGCCTCCAAGAACCCTACAGAGAAGGCAAAGGGGTCTAGAGCTGCAGAGGCAGTGCCAGGCCTCCCGGTCACTACCTGTTAGATGGGCCAGGCCCCGGCTGCAAGCACACCCTGGCCTCTCCTTAGGGTTTATATGCGGCTCAGGGGACCAGGCCATTTGACAGTAGCTACAACGAAGCCAGCACTCCTTACCTTCGTTCTGGAAAAGTCTGAATGGGATGAAAATCAGAATGGAAAGCTAGGCTACCTGAAGACAGCCTTAGATCCTGACCAGCCCTTGGGAAGCCTCCTCTTCCTCTTTCAGAATGAAACAAGATGCCCAGTAGTGACATGTGAAGATCACCAGAGCTCTGTCAGCCCCAAGACCAAATGCCAGGCTCAGAGCCATGACATGTCCTTTGGTCAGATAGAGCTGTGTGGCCCAGCTGGCCGAAGACCATCCAGGTGGCTTATTCCTTGGTACATGGCAAGTAGAGTAGATGAAGATGGCAGGAAACAGAAGATAGCGCTGGTCCTGGGGAACTGATGTCCTGTCCTCCAGGACTCCCAGAACAGGTGTGTCTACCAGTCCTGGTGTAGAGAGACCAATCAGCTACCTACTGAAGCTCCTAGACACCAGCCCGATTGCTGCTAGCTTGTGTCCCTTGGCCCTGCCAATTAGCAGCCACATGACGATTCACCACCAGGGGGCGATCCCTCACCACAGCCCATTGGAGCGCTGCCATCAGGGCATGATGATCTGGTTTGTGTGCACCCCAGTAAACAAATGAATGCAACCATCCACAGTGGGACATTTAATTGTTTAATTTCTTTTAAAGAGATTATTGCTGCAATTAGGAAGGGAGCTTATTTTTGAAGAGGGGGAAGGTTAGAGAAGACAAAAAAGATTTAAAAGAGGCAAGTACCATTTTCCAAGTATAAAACTGGTAATATTAAAAGTGACGTGGCAGTATTTTCACAGGACTACTTACTTCTAATGCAGAAACAAGACAGTATAGTTTTTGCAGAAGCCAATGTGACATCTGTTAGCAACATGATACCATTAATAGATACCCTACTCACCTGAGCCACATACTAGGAATTATGTGCACACCCACCCACACACACACACACACACAAATCTACACAAAATGAAAGCCTACACAAGTGTTAAGTCAAACTAAGGCTCTTAATAATAAATTAAAGTGGTTACAGTCGGTCCCTTTGAAAACCACCACAGCCCCCAGCACCAGTGCTGTCACAGTACAGAGGAAGTGAGTAGCTCACGGTCTGGTCCTGGGGAAACAGAAAGGGCATGTGCTTCTCCTTTTTAGCAGCTAGCAAGCCATGGTGCAGCTTGTTGGGTGGCCCCGACTCCCTGGACCACCTCCAACATGATGCCTGGAGGCCTGGGACAATTCTTGGCTCCAACCACAGCTACTCTCTCAAGGAAGTGCCCACCAGTTCAGCAAGTAGGAGGAAGTGTGTGACTCCCACATCCTAAAGATCTCAGCCTCTTCCTGACACACACACACAAAGGTACATCAACCGCTCTTGAACCCCACAACGCACTGCAGAGCAAACAGGAGGGAAGCAAGCACGTGAGCGCACACTCACACACACCAGCCCTGCAATGATGTGGCCAGCTTGTCACAGTTACTGGGTGAAAAGTACAGTGCTAAAGAACACCTGTGACAGACGTGCTAAGGAACTCGAGGGCAGCTTGAGGACAGCAGCCTGGGAGGCACAAGTCCCTGAGAAGGGGAGGGAACAGAGTGAAGTTGCTCTGGACTTGTTCCTAAGTTCTTGCCACCAGAACAGCGACTTCTAAGACTGGTCCACTTCCCCTAGGACTGGGTCAGGAAGAGCTCACTGCTGGGGAGAAAGGCACATGGTATAATGTCATTAGAGAAGGACAGTGTCTCAACCTAGATCAGGGCCCCCCAAAAGGGAGAAAAGTACGAAGTGAGCGCAGGATTGGCTCTTTCCCTCTGTACACCCTGAGTAACTAGTCTCCTGGAGGAACTCCAGGCCCTAGACTATAATGGCTGCTGGAAGTCGTACATTCCTATTCCAAAATGTTTGTTGTTCCCCTGCTGCTCCCTTTTAGCCAGGGCTGCGGAGCATCCAGTACCTGAGGCTAAATTGCCTAGTACCTTTGGAAAGTAAATCAAAGAAGAAGAGGCAGGAAGATGTGGAGAGAGGAAATGTTCTCCACGCCCTTCCACACCCATCTAGGGTAAATCAAGGCAACTTGTGGAGGTGCTCTGAGCTTTCCTTCAGCAGACAGAATTCCTTAGGGCGAGGCAGAACCACCACTAACTTTGGTGACCCATACGGAACCTGGATGCTCACCTATGCTGATATTCAGGGAAGTATAGAAAACCATTTGGTTTTTGCTCATCACCGAAAGGACTCAAGTATACTCTGGCCATTGCCAACGCAGGGAGGCAGCACCACAACCAAAAAGCCCTAGATGCTCTGGAAACCATTCTCTTCGTACTCTAGGGAAACAGTAACAAACCCATGGGCACATCATTTCAAATAAGCATCTCCAGAGATGGCGACAACCAACATTTCATAGGGCCTGTCAGCAAACAAGAGGACAATGGAGCACTCCATACCCTGCCGTGGGCAATGGAGCAGACGTGGTCAACCACTCCAGTGCTGCACAACAGGGAACAGCAACCTGGCCAACCTGTGTCCCAGAAAAACAGAACGAGCTGCAATGAAAGAGATTTTGAAAGATAACTGAAATACTCTTGAGCAGAGGGCTGCGAGAGACTCCTACTTAGAATGTACCTAACACCCACCCAAGGAAATACCTGTTACATACTCTGTGCTGCCTAGCTAGCCAAAACACCTACCTAGGTAACAAGGAAACCCTTTTGCTATCTTACAGCTTCCCTATAGAATCAAGACAGGCCAGAGCCACCACATAAGAACTGAGCAAAGATGAAAGCTGAGAAGTTAGAGAAGGAAAAAGTTAAAACAATTCCTAGGGTAACATTTATGACAAAGGAAGAATCATTATGCAAGTAGAATCCTCTGGGGGTCTTCAAATTAAAAATCATTAAAAAGTAACAAGAGGAACCAACGTCCTGAGGCGCAAGCTGTCTCGTGGTCTACCTCGTGGTGCTCTATGGAGCAGGAATAGATGTCAAAGTTGCACGCAGCCTGTTCCATCCCTCGAGAACCTTCTAAAGACCAGACGCTCCTTGGGACTGGAAAGGGTCCGTGCTCAGCGGGGTTTTGGAGAACCATTCA